AGCTAGGAAGTCAATATTTCCCTTATTGCTGAATAATATTCCACTGTATGGATGGATCACATTTTGTTTATCCATGCATCAGTTGATGGATATTTAGGTAATTTCTGCCTTCTAGCTATTGTCAATAACACTTTTATCAACATTTATGTAAAGTTTTTGAATAGACATATGTTTTCATTTCTCTTCAACGTATGTCAAGGAATAAAATTGCTAAGTCATATGGGAACTCTTTGTTAACGGTTTTAGGAATTGCCAAACTGTATTCCAAAGTGACTTCACCATTTTACATTCCCACCCATGCTTCATGAAGGTTCCAATTTCTTTGCATCTTCACCAACACTTGCTATTGTAGTCTTTTTAATTTTAGCCACCTAGTGGTTTTGATTTGCATTTCATAATACATAGCAATTTTGAACACTTTCCATGTAATTTCTGGCCATTTGTGTATTTCCTTTAAGTAAAATCTACTTAAACAACTTGCCTATTTTTAACTGGATTATTCATCCTTTCATTGTTGAGTTGAAGGAGTTCTTTATATGTTTTGCTTACAAGTCCTCTATCAGATATAAAATTTACAAATATTTTCTATCATCCTATGTGTTGCCTTTTTCTTTCTTATGGTATCCTTTGAAGCTCAAAAATTTAAAGTTTTGATGAAGTCCAATGTATTTATGTTTCCTTTTTTTTTTTTTTGCTTGTACTGATGGTGTTACATATAAGCAATCATCACCGAATCTAAGGTAAGCAATATTTATTCCTGTGTTTTCTTCTCTTACCTTTATGTCTATGAAACAGTTTTTTTTTTAATTGAGCTGTGGTTAATTTACAATACTATATCAATTTCAGGTGTACAACAGAGTGATTCACAATTTTAAAGATTATATGCCATTTATAGTTATTATAAAATATTGGTTATATTTCCTGTGCTATACTGTATGTCTTTCTTGCTTATTTAATTTATACAAAAGTAGCTTGTACCTCTTAATCCCCTACCCCTATCTTGCTTCTCCCCTCTTCCCACTTGTAACCACTAGTTTGTTCTCTGTATCTACGAGTATATTTCTTTTTTTTGCTATATTCACTACTTTGTTTTATTTTTTCAATTCCACATATAAGAAATAGCATACAGTATTTATCTTTGTCTGATTCATTTCAGTTGGCATAACACCTTACAAGTCCATCCATGTTGTTGCAAACAGCAAAATGTTATTCTTTTTTATAGTTGTGTAGTATTCCATTGTGTGTGTGTGTGTATTATATATATATACACACTACATCTTCTTTATCCACTCATCCATTGATGGACATTTAGGTTGCTTCCATATCTTGGCAATTGTAAATAATACTGCTATGAACATTGAGGTGCCTGTATGTTTTTGAATTGGTATTTCAGCTTTTTTTTGTTTTGGATATATACTCAGGAGTGAAATTGCTGGATCACATAATAGTTCAAGTTTTAATTTTTTGAGGAACCTCCAAACTGTTTTCCACAGTGGCTGCACCAATTTACATTCTTACAGCAATGTAAGAGAGTTCCCTTTTCTCCACATCATTGCCAACATTTGTTATTTGTGCTCTTTTAGATGATGGTCATCCTGACATGTGTGAGGTGATATCTCATTGTGGTTTTGACTTGCATTTCTCTGATGATTAACAATGTTGAGCATCTTTTCATGTGCCTGTTGGCTGTCTGTATGTCTTCTTTGGAAAAATGTGTACTCAAGTCTTCTGCCCATTTTAAAGATTGCATTGTTCGCTTTTTTGATGTTGAGTTGTATTAGCTGTTTATATATTTTTAGTATTAACTCCTTGTCAGTCAAATCATTTGCAAATGTTTTCTCTCATTCAGTAGATTTTTTTTTCATTTTGTTAGTGGTTTCCTTTGCTGAGCAAGAGCTTTTAAGTTTAATTAGGTCCCATTTGTTTATTTTTGCTTTTGTTTCTTTACCTTAGGAGACAGATCCAAAAAATATTGCTACAATTTATGTCAAAGAATGTTCTGCCTATGTTTTCTTCTAGGAGTTTTACAGTTTCAGGTCTTGGATTTATGTCTTTAATTCATTTTGAATTTATCTTTGTATACAGTGTGAGGGAATGTCCTAAGTTCATTCTTCTACATGTAGCTGTCCAGTTTTCTCAGAACCATTTATTGAAGAGATGTCTTTTCTCCATTGTATATTCTTGCCTCCTTTATCATAGATTAATTGACTGTAAGTGCATGGTTAATTTCTCTTTGGTGAAGGCAAATATAAATATGATCTAGTTTTGAGTTAATTTTTGTATATGGTGTGAGGATATTCAGTTGTAACAGCACCATTTGTTGGAAGAAAACATTCTTTCCCCATTGAGTGGTCTTGTCATCCCTGGCAAAATCAAGGACTATAAATGTGAAGGTTTATTTCTTGACTCTTAATTCTATTCCACTAATCTATATGTTCATTCTTATTCCAGTATCACACCGTCCTGAATATTATAGCTCTGTAATGAGTTTTGAAGTTAAGAAACATGAGTCATCCAATTGTGTCCTTCATCAAGATTGCTTTGGTTATTCTGGGTCCCTTCCATTTCCACATAAATTTAGGATCAGCTTGTCAATTCTGCAAAAAATCGACATAGGAGTCTGATAAGGAGTGCATTGAATCTGTAGATCAGTTTGAAGAGTGTTGCCATCTCAACGATATTAAGTCTTTAAATCTATGAATGTAGGATGTCTTTCCATTTATTTAGATTTCCTTTAATTTCTTTTAGCAAGGTTTTGTAGTTTTTGTGTGTAAGTCTTGCACTTCTATTAACTTTCTCAAGTATTTTTTTTGATGTTATTGTAAATGTAATTATTTTCTTAATTGATAATTGTGTATTGATCTTGTAGTGTGTCATACTGCTAAGCTTATTTATTAGAACTGATAATTTTTGTATGGGTGATTCCCTTAGGTTTTCTACATAAAACATCATGTAATATACAAATAGAAGTAGTTTTACTTCTTTATTTCCAGTCCAGATGCCTTTTATTTCCTCTTCTTGACTAATTGCCATGACTAGAACCTCCTGTACAATGCTGACTATAATTGACAGAAGTCTTTTTTGTCTTGTTCCTGATTTTAGGGGAGAAAAATTCAGTGTTTCACCATTAAGTGTGATGTTAGCTATTTTTTTTTCAATAATGTCTTTTATCAGGTTGAAGACGTTCCCTTTTATTCCTAGATTATGGACTGTTTTTATCACAAGATCTGCTGGATTTTGTCAAGTGCTCTGTCTTCATCATGTTGAGATGATCATTAGGTTTTGTCCTCTACTCTATTAATATGGTATGTTACGTTTATTAATTTCTATGTTAGACCAACTTTTCATTCCTGGGGTAAATCCCACTTGGTCTTGGTATATAACCTTTTTAATATGTTTATAGTTTTGGCTTGTTAATATTTGTTGAGGATATTTGAAGGCATATATTCATGAGATATTGATCTGTAGTTTTCTTTTCTTGTAATGCCTTTGTCTGGTTTGGGTATTATGGTAATGCAAGCCTCATAGGATGAGTTGGAAAGTGTTCCCTCTTCTATATTTTGGAAGATTTTATGAAATATTGATGCTACTCCTTCTTTAAAAATTTGCTGCAATTCATCAGTGAAGCCATTTGGGCCTGGAATTTTATTTGTCCAAAGTCATAAATATACTAATTTGATCTCTTTACTTTATGGTGAGACTACGTATTTCCTTTTGAGTCAGTTTCTGGAGTTGTGTCTTTCTTGAAAGTTGTCCGTTTCATCTAGGATATGTAATTTCATGATATACACTTGTTCATAATATTCACTTATATAATTTTCTTCTGTGAAGTCTTGACTTTGGTTATTTGAATCTTCCCTCTTTTTTCAGTTGGTCAGTCTAGCTAAATATTTGTCAAACATCTCTGGCTTTCAATGATTTTTTTAAAAATTGTTTTTCTATTCTCTACTTCATTTATTTACATTCTGATTTTTATGTCCTTTTATCTGTTTGCCTTGGATTAATTTGCTCTCCTTTATCTAGCTTCTTAAGGCAGAAACTTAGATTATTTATTTAGCTTTCAATTTTTAAAAAATATGTGAATATATCTTAAAAATACAGCTATACATTTTCATGTGAGCACTGCTTTTTCTGCATCCCATAAGTTTAGGTATGTTGTGTTTCTATTTTCATTCATCTCAGCATTTTTTAATTCCACTATGATTTCTTCTTTGACCCATTGAGTGTGTTATTTACTTTCCACAGACTTATGAATTTCCACCAAGGTTTTTACTATTAATTTCTAATTTAATTCCATTATGGTTGAATAACATATTTTATACAATTCCAATCATTTTAAATTTGTTCTGTTTTGTTCTATTGCTTCACATACGGTCTATCCTGGAGAATGTTCCATGTGTATCTAAAAAGAATGTGAGTTCTGACATTATTGGGTGAGATGTTTTATAAATGTCTGTTCGGTCTGGTTGGTTAATAGTATTGTTTAATTTTTCTGTTTCCTCGCTGATCTTTTGCCTAGTTGCTCTATCCATTATTAAAAGGAGGATATTGAAGTCTCTAATTATTATTTTTGAGTTATCTATGCCTGCCTTCATTCTGTCAGTTTTGTTTCATGTATTTTGGGACTCTGAGTGGGTGTTGGGGTGTGTGCTCACAAGAGATGATTGGCTGCCTAAACTTTGGGGTCTTAGTTACCCAGGTTGAAATCCCCAGGGGTCTGAACACTGAGCTTGGTTTAATGTTGACGTTTCGAAGCCCTGGCTGGACCTCTGGACATTCAGTTTTACCATTAAAGGTACTGTTTACTCTTAAAGCAGTGCTGGGCTGAAAAGCAATGAGTGGGAGGAAGAGGAGGAGAAGAAGAAAGTGGAGCAGGAGAAATAGGAGAAAGAAGCCATATATCTGTATCAGATTGTGGAAAGGATTTATGGAGGGTTAGTTATGGAAGGATTAGATGATGTGAAATACAGAAAGGAATCTTGAAACCATTGTGTTCTTTATAAGTGATATGACTTATTTATTCATGTTATGTTTAGTCTTAGTAGGAAGTCCAGGGATCTACTGTCAAGAATTTGTGGGGACTCTGGAGAAGGGAGCTATCCTGAACCAGCCAACTGTACGTAGAGAGAGTTTTAGGAGAAATTAACAAGGTACAATTAAAGCTGCAGACAAAGAGTGCGTATCCATGTGACAGAAAGAATGTCTGCAACACCTTCAGGTCTTATATGAACTTGAGTCCTTCATTCATGGAGCAGATGCCAGATCCCACATTAGATGGGTATTCAGATCGGGCAGCAAGCATCCTAAAGGAAGCGTGACAAAGGTGTGGTCGTCTGGGATGCCGTGTGGTCGGGGTTAGAGCAGAGGATGCACCGGGGGAGGTCGGGCAAGATGCTGGGTCTAGGGCAGGGGTCATGCTCCAGGAGCTCTGCATGGAGGAGACCTGAAGGCCAAGGAGGAGTCACTGAGATGAAGCTGGGTGAGGATGGGGCAAGCAGCTTGAGACAGGGGAGCAGCAAGTGCCTGGGCTCTTGGAGGCACACAGATTCCATAGGTGACTGGGCATAGGGCTTGACGAGGTTCCTGGAAGCCACACTGCAAAACCACCAGGCGCCACGCTAGGGAGTCCTTGAGCAAAGGAGCAACACAACTCAGTTCATTTTGCATGTAGTTCATTCGGGCGTTCAGCCAGAAATGTCCAGCTGGCCCCTGGAGAATCTGTGCTGAGGACTGAGATCTGGTGCTTGGAGCCAAGGGGAGGGAGGCGGGGTGATGAGGTTGCCCAGGGAGACTGTGTACAGTGGGTGGGTCAGGAAGGCGAAGGCTTTATCCCAAAAGAATTCCTGAAAGTCAGCTCCAAGCTTCCCCGGCCTGGCAATGAGGACAAGGGGTGAAGTGTGTGAGGCCTATACCTGCGCCATCCTTTCTGCCTCCAGTACCATCTCTCCGCTCACCTTCCCACCCTCCAGGGCCTTCCATACCTGTCTACTGTCCTCTAATACCGGCCCTGGAAGCTTACCCTGAACTCGGCTCCCAATGAACAAAGGGCTCCTGCTGCAGGGCTCCCTCCTGGCTCCGCTCCCTTGTGCCTCAGCTGTCTGTCTGCTTTGGGGCCACCCCTCTGGGCCATGATCACCTTGCTGGAAGGGGCTGTGTGAGGCAGAGCATGGTCCCCACACATGACAGTGACTGGGGGAGGTTTAGTTGGCTATTAGCCACCTACAGCATTAGACAAGAAACTCAAAAGCTGTCAAACACAACTTTTCTTTCCAGAAAAAAATCACAGAATTCATTTTAAATGAATATCTAGAAGAATGAGTGAGAATGACATTGAGATACACCAAGGTCAAGGGGTGGGAAGGGAAACATGTTGAGTATATAGTATGATGCAGGTGGTGTTTTAAGTACTAGTCTTAGCGGCTTGATCCCAGGACCTGGGACACGGTTTGCAAGGCCCAGCACAAAATGACAAGCAGGGTCCCTTGTCCAGAAATTATCAATAATTTCAAAATCGAGTCAACAGCATTAAACCAGGAGACCTGGCTTGTATGACAGAGCGCTGGCCTGTATGACCACACGGGTTGCGGGTCCATAAAGTTGGCCCTAGCTTCATCCTACAGCAACCCTGAAATGAGGACATAGTTACCTTTATTTTATGGACTCAGAGAGGGTGAGCAACTTGATCACGTTTGCTCAGCAAAATGAACTATATCGCCAGGAATCTAACCTAGGGATTCTAACTAAAAAGCCCTCCATTTTCTGAAAACTGTGTGATGAATAATTTCATAAATTGTATTAGTTTGCACTGCATGAAATTGCTATTTTTGAAGGTTAAAATGTACAATTAAAATTGCACAAAATTGCATAAAATTGCTGTTTTTTGAAGGTGAAAAAATGGCAGACTGTTGGC